GCTCGTATCACTCAACAGAAGCAGCCGTCTTATTTTTGACTATGTTTAAGTTATTAATGTCTATTGGTGTTTAACTTGTGAAGTTAAAAGTTAATCACGTACAAAATGTAAGTGGTAAAGTTAAATCTGAGTTGAAATGATTTATTAATAAAGCTGATCAAACACGGTTTGTCAGTAGATACTGCAGTGTCAGCGTTCTGTGAAGATCTGGATGGCAGTGATATTAGAGTGTAAAAGATTCTGCTTTAAAATGTAATATTTAAGACCAATCCATGCAGCTTCATTGCTTCTGCAGTTACAGTACGATGGTAGATATAACTGAAGACCATGAAGCCCTTTGTGCACATGTGCATGGTGCTGCAGCGTGTCCTCCTCACCACTTTGCCCTGGTCAGGATCATAAAACCTCTCCAGCAGCTGCACGCTGGTGCTCTTCCCACAGCCGCTGCTGCCCACAAAGGCCAGCGTCTGGCCGGGCTTCACCGACACATTCAGCCCGTTCAGGACCTGGATGTCCGGCCTGGTGGGGTAGGTGAAGTTACAGTCAATGAACTCTATGTTGCCTTGGAAGTTATCCTGAAAACAGACAGAAGCAGGAGGAGAGAAGACAAACATGAGCTCCAAGGTTAGAACAGGCTTATGTGAGTGTTAGAGTGCCACCTCCTGGTCATAAAGGGCTGCTGAGAGTTCTGTTTCATTTCATGGTAACAGTCGTCTTGGGAGGAGGTTTTATTATCATTCACATCTTTCAAAGGGCACAAAATGATTCTTCTTTTGCATGTCCTGTTTATAATCACAGGACTAACAGTTTTCCTTTGTCTCTTCCTCTACTCTGGATTCCCTGCTGAATGTGTTTTAAAAAACAAAGGTATCTCTCATCTGGTCATAGCAGAACATATTGCTTCATACCCATTTGTCTCCCTTGTCGCTGTAGATGCTGATCTGAGGCACTCGGTCCAGCAGCTGGAAGAAGCGTGCCGCTGATATCTTGGCCTTGGCGTAGTCCGGCGTGTAAGAGGAGGCTCTGCCCAGCGCCGTGCCACTGGTGACGATGGCCGAGATGACCCTGAGCGGAGGCGTACACTGTGACTTATCTTTCACCGAGCAAACAGATCGAGTAACACGGATGTCAATGTCACGTGAGCTCATGTGAGACGGAAACCCAATCTGGTGTCCCTGCAGATGAAGCCTTCAGGTGTCGGGGCCAAGGAGCTTCCACTGAGTCTGATTTTAGCTCAGCTTTCAGTAGATGTACTAACATTTAGGATCCACTGTCACAAGCTTGTCTATACCTTCTTTAAACAAGGTAGTAAATGTAAATGTAGTCCTAATGCTCTCACCTGAACACCAGGCTGAAGTGGAGCCCCTCTTGTCGCACCAAGTAGCCTCCAAACCTGTAGGAGGCGGAGTTGGTCAGGAAGACGACGCACTGGGCAAAGCCGTAGCACGCCCCGTACACGTTGGCCTTCTTCAGGGCGGCGTGATAAGGAGCGTCCAGCTGGGCTTCGTACATCTGCACAAAGTTCCTCTCCTTGCCCAGGCCGGCGATGGTGCGGATGTTGTTCAGGGCCTCGCCGGAAATCTGCAAAAGACGAGGGTTGAGGAGAAGCTTTTCATGTGTGAGGCAGAGTCAGATGTAGATAAAGGAGCTGCTCTGTTCTTATCTATAGCCTGTTCTACGCTGCTGCAGTGAGCCAATTCAGCCCCATAGGGATCATTAAATTTTCATTTAATCCACTTCCCTTGGATGGGTGGGGCTCACCGCATCGGGATGATTAAGATAGCGTCGAGGAAGTTCACAGCACATTGACTTTTGAACACTTTCTTTGGTTGTTTCTGGCTCTCGCTGAGGGTTTTGTCCACTGCATGGCTTCCTCATGGTTGGTGTTAACTCCATGTCTACGCCACCAAACTACAGGAGGAGCTCATGAAATGATATTGTGGCCAGATGTGGTTCAGCTGTGGAGCATTTCTTTAACGGTGAGAAAAAGATGGAGCCTAGAATAGACGCTGTGAAGGTGTTTCTTATCTGCTGTCAGTGGATCAGTCAGCTGATGTCCCCTCAGAGTCCACCAGGATTACCTTCATGATGCTTTTGACTTGTCGCTCTTTAACAATATTGCACTTGTGGGATGTTTTTTTTAAATAGAGGCCAAAACAAAAGAGTGAGATTGTGTCGTGGTATCTGACCCGTCCAGCAGTTTCCATGGCCTGCTTGTCCTGCTTGGCGAACCCTGTGAGCATGCTGGCCTGGAAGCCGCCCGACAGGGCGATGAAGGGCAGGAAACACAGGATGAGCATCGTGAGCTTCCAGCTGAAGTAGAAGGACATGATGACTGCCACGCCGATGTTGGTCAGAGAGTTGACGATCATGCCGATCTGTGAGCCCGTGGCCTGAGAGGACGGTGGGTGGAAGAGAGGAGCAGGATTACATGTAGGTTGTGCTGATTGAAAACTAGATAATCAAAGCAGAATACGTGGAAATGCAGCGTATGATCAAGACGGGAACGAAGAGAAAACACAGAAACTACATGACGGATCAGATTTGACTTCAGGCCTGAATCTGACCTTTTAACAGAAGCTCTGCTGTTAAAAATCTATTTAGTTTCATTGCTGTTATATTTGCATTCCACAAAACATGTGGAGAAAAATGGAATTCCTGTTATTTGTTAAGGTAATTACATATTTAAACATATCTGGACATTTACACTAAATACATTTCTTACATTGATTTAACTCTACGTTGTTTTTTGGTTTTAGGTTGGTTTTCTGACCGGCTGTGTTTTGGAGGTGTTTTAATTGAGGCATCGCAACTTTTCTGTTTGCAAGTCTGGCAACTTTAAAATGATGTTTTGTCAAATTCATTCCTTCTTCTGTTCTCAGCCTCTGCAAAAAACAACAACCAACACCTGAAGGTAGCTGTATTGGAAACTCATCTTATGAAGTCTCCATAATTTTATAGCAGAATATGAGGCTGCGTTTTTTTTTTTTTTTTCCTGACTCGGCTCTAGCTCACCCCTTGCACTTGGGAGGCGTCAGTGGCCAGACGTGTGGTGAGAGCTCCGGGGCTGTTCCTGTGATCATCAAACCAGCCGATCTCTTGGCCCAGCATGGCGTGGAAGCCCAGTCGCCGTAACCGGCGGGTCAGCAGCTCTCCGGACTTAGAGAAGGCGTAACCCTGGAGACGCACACATGAGAAGCATTTTTCATTAAATCCGATATACCCTTGCAGTGATCTCACAGCCAGCCTAATGTAATATATGAGTAATCTGCAAAAAGGGTGTCCTTATCATCCCTCCCACCAGGGGGCCGGAACTCATGAACTGATTATAGAGCAGCGCCTCTGCAGAGTGCAGGACGATGTTTTCATCTGAGGAGATGATATTAATTTACTAAAATAAAGAAGGTCTCCTGTGACTTTTCCCTTCAACCTTGAAGGAGGAGGAAGCAGAGAAGCACTGACGCCTGAGCAGAACGCTACCGACCTGCAGCATCTGGGTGAAGAAGGAGACGACGCCGACCAGGACGAAGAACACGCAGATGCCGTTGATCTCCCTCCTCTGAGCCTCGGGGTCTGTGATGGAGAAAGTCTACACACAGACATGTTTGTGGATGAAGATTAGTCATTATGTTATCCAGAGCCCTGTGTGTAGTTTAGTCTTGTAGTTTGATGGTTTTCAGCTGTGCCCCCCTTAAGTCTACAACCAGAATCCTAAAACATTCACATCCTACACACTGAGCTTGTTTGAAGTCCAACAATCTGATTTCAAACCTCACCGCCAGGATCTGACTGAATAGCAGAGAGTAGACGGGGTTGACGCCTCCGTTTATTGCCGCTCCAATAGATCCGAACAGCATGTAGGGCCACTCGGGTGTGTTGTACTTCAGGATGCGGGCGACTGGAGCCGGCTCCACAGGTTCTTCATCCTCATCGTCAGGGATCGCATTCTGAGCGTGGAGGCAGACAAACACATCAGGCGCTTGTGGTGTTAAACCACCCACACATACACACACCTACACACACACACACCTTGGATTTATCTGCCTGTGACACAGCGTAGGCTCTGGGGCCGAGCTCTCCAGCAATGCCCACGGACGACTCCGGGACCAGGTTGGACAGCTGGGACCGGGACCGCTGGCGGATAGAGGCTCTGCAACAAGCAAGCGGTTTGTGAATCCATATCTATCACTTCTGGCGTGTTTTATACCAGAACATTCTCCAGACTCCAGACTACTGGATGTTGTAGCTGCTCGGTTGTGCTGCTGCTCATTACTGGGTGATGGATCAAACCTCCTCTGTTTGTAAGTGGCTCTGAGTGATAGTGTCCAACTAAATGCCCCGTACATGCATTAAGCTGTTAAATCAAGACAACAGCCACAAGTCTGTCAGCCACAACATGACAACTCTACACACACTCACATAGACGTTACTGGGAGGACTGGTGTGTGTGCAGTACCTTAAACTGGCCCGGTAGCTGCCTGCCCTGGACAGGTTGAGCTTCTCTGGCTCTTCATGACTGTCAGCCACTAATACAACAGAAGTGATGGTCATTTATACTCAATCCTTTACATTTGTAGACAGTTTTCTCAATGGAGGGGAATTTATTGGATCAGAGAGCTTGGACCTACTTTGCCGGGCCTTCTCGTTCAGAGCTTTGTCTCCTTGGCTCTGCAGAGTGACCAGAGTGAAGTAGACGCCCTTCCTCTCCAGCAGTTCGTTGTGTTTGCCTCTTTCTACGGCCCGGCCGTGTTCGAAGCCGACGATCACGTCGGCGTTCTTTATGGTGGACAGCCGATGGGCGATGGAGATGGTGGTGCGGCCCAGACGTACCTATGAGGGAAGACAAGCCTTTTGTTTCTGTCATCGGTTTGGATTGAGATTCCACGCGCCTCCCAAAGTAGTCTGTGTTTTACACCCAGATTACTGCCTCAAAATGAAGTCTGTCCATTTTGTGCACCCTGTTGGCTGTGAAGTGGACTTTGTTACTTCATGCACATTCCTACAAAAGTGAATTACATCAAAATGCAGCATTGGAGGCTTTTTCTGGCTTGCCCCCAGGCCGCACAATTAGAGCCGTAATTATATTGTTAAACCCAAAGCTAATCAGCACACAGACGAGTCAGGCGTACTTTATCCAGAGCTTCTTGAACTATGGCCTCGCTCTCATTGTCGAGAGCGGAGGTGGCCATGTCCAGCAGCAGGATGCGAGGGTTCCTGACCAGCGCTCGAGCGATGGCGATCCTCTGCTTCTGGCCGCCGCTCATCTGGCCGCCGCCCTCCCCCACCAGGGTGTCGAATTTCTGTCAGATTTAAGAGAAACTTGTCAGTTTGCGCCTTTACTTTTCGTTCACCTATAACCTGAAGCTGCCTCTCCACCTGCGGCAGGTCCATGATGAAGTTGTAGGCGTTGGCCTCCTTGGTGGCGGTGATGATGTCCTCCATGGTGACCCCGGGTCGACCGTAGCGGATGTTCTCGGCGATGGTGGTCGCAAACAGCACGGGCTCCTGCTCCACGATGCCGATCAGGGAGCGCAGCCATTGGATGTTGAGCCCTCTGATGTCATGACCATCCAGAGTCACCTGAGATGGAGGACAGAGCAGCTGCTAATGCTAGAACTGATGGATGATGCTATTAAAGCACACTGACGCTGTAATGTGCTTTTTTCTTTTTCTGCAACAATGCGAGCATCAAAAGAGAAGCTTGTTAGTCTGGTGGATAAGCTTCCAATGAGAGGCTATTTCCTTCCTGAGAAGCTGAAAGGAAGAAGAAAGTAAAGCGCCTGTGATTCCAGTAAAAGTGAAAAATGAGGCTGTTAGGATCCACTGGCTGAATAATGAAACAGATTATCCTGTACCTCCATCACCCTCAGGGCATGGTTATTTTTAAAGCGACTAGAATAAAGCTGACATGCGAGGAGGTGGCGGCCACCGTGTGTCGAGGAAATGTTCAGATTTGCCGAGTCGGACCTCTTATAGAGGAACCATAAACGTCCTGAGCTTAACACCTACCATGCCTTCTTTAGGGTCGTAGAAGCGCTGGATGAGTTGGATGGCGGTGCTTTTCCCGGCTCCGCTCGGTCCCACGAAGGCCGTGGTCTCCCCTGACTTCACCGCAACGCTGAGCTGGTCCAGGATCTGAGCAAAGACACGAGTAGGCAGAGGAGAGGTGAGACTTTGTGACAGGTGAGTAAGATAACTTGGGTTGTGTGTGATGATGAGTGTAGAATGATGAAAGCACCTTCACTTCAGGTCTGGACGGGTAGTGGAAGGTCACGTTGTGAAACTCGATGTCTCCTTTGACCTTGTCCAGCTTATAGCCGGCCTCAGAAAAACAGTCGATCTCCGGCTCCTGTCGGTGGCACATTTCAAAAGTGACGAGAGGAAAAGGTTTCCTGTGAAAATACATTAAAATATGAAGAATTCTCACCCTGTCGATCGTCTCAAAGATGATGGTGGCAGCTCCACGGCCGGCCGCAAAGGCCTCCAGACAGGGGGAGGCCTGCCCCAAGTTCATGGCTGCGATCAGAACTCCAAAGAACACCTGAAACAAAGGTGGAGATGTCAGAATAACAAGGAGAGAGAATTCACAATGTGCTTGTAAGAGATCAAAGCTTTACATCGACAAGAAAGTGGCGTTTATGACGGGCATGGAAAGTACAGTTTACTGTCTAGTATACGTGGACATTAGACGTGTGATACCTGCAGCAGAGTTCCTGGCGTGTACTCCTCACTGTCCACCACCAGGGTGGAGCCGTACCAGAAGGCCAGACCGTAGCACAGGAAGATGATCATCCAGATGTATCCAGTGAAAAAGCCCATGATCAGACCCTTCCTGATGCCCCAGCGCTGGGCCGAGACCAGGTTCCTGTCGTACCTTTTAGAAGAACAGAGAAGCTCACCTTAGCGATGCTTATATGGACAAAAGAAAAGCTCTGTTCGTGCTTTACCTTTGAACTTCTTTTTTCTCTCCACCGAAAGCAGCCACAGTCCTGATGGAGGTGAGGACCTCGTCAGCCACAGCTCCAGCTTTGGCGTAGGCCTGCAGCTCCATCCCCGTTAGCTTAGCCACGAACTAGGGTTGAAGCACAGCGACGCAAAGTTGACGGAGAGGAAGGAAACGTCAGGACACGTCGGATCAGAGTGTCACAAGTCAAGTCCTGTCACGAGGAGTCGAGTTAATTCAAGTCGGGACAAGTTGAGACGATAAGGTAAGTCAGTTTACCAAGTCAAAGCAAAAGTAGAAAAGTCAGTAAGTCAGGTCAACAGGTCAAGTCAAAAGAGTTGGTCAACAAGTCAAATAAGGAGAAATCAGTTTGATAACTCGAGAGATTTTAGGATAGGGCATGGGGCGTAGAGCTGATGAAGTCAACACATCAAGTCTGAAGATGTCAAGTCAACAAAATAAGACAAAAGAATAGAAATCAGTAATTCAAGTGAAGAGAATTCAAACCGACACATCAGGTCAAGCCATGAAAAGTCAAAATAAGTGAAAAGACTTTAGGTCAACAGAACCTGAGTCTCACCAAAGCCATGAGACCAGCTCCAACGCCAATCAGAGGACTCGCTGCGATGATGACCAGCGTTAACTTCCATCCTTTCACGAAGCCGACGCAGAAGCCGCACACGAAGGTGGTGAAACGCTGCACAAATATGGCTACCTGGTCCGCGATGGCGTCGTTGATCTTGTTGATGTCGCTGTAACAGAATATAACTACTGTCACACAGACTGCGATGCTCCATCAGACAGAAGTCGTGCCGCTGCCTTCACACTCACTCTGACAGCCGGGTGTTGAGCTCCCCTACGGAGGTGCAGTCGAACCAGCCGATCTCCATCCTCATCACTTTGCTGAAGTACATTTTCCTGATGAGCTGAACCTGCCTGGCGGCGGATGTCACCCACAGGGAGATCTGACAGTTGTAAGGGAGAGATTATGCTCGCATCCGTTAATTGTTGGATGTAGAAGCGAGCGGGGCGGCGGGATGTTATCAGAGCTGGCACACTGCGCTCTGACCTCATTTACGGAGAGTAGAAATCCTACGCAAGGGCCACTCCACTTCCACAGTGAAGACCTGCTCGCTCAGTACGAGGAGGGAGCATGTGAAAGAGCTGCATGATTTGGAGGCTTTACATTTAGTTTTGTAGAGAGTCTCTGTTTTAAACTGACAGAAGGTCGTTTGAAGTGTGCTGTCAGACTGGAAGATGCTGCTGGGTTGTAGGATCCTCGTGTTCTGTCTCCTGACCCACAGTAGGGCAACTAAGAGATGCCTCTTGTAAGTGTAATACTAAATCTCTGGCGTGCTGCCTCGTATATAAATGGAAACTGGTGTGTATCAACCAATAGGGATATTTTAAAATCAATACTTTTGCACACTGCATGTTCAGTTCTTCACTGACCGTATTGACTGATTGTCGTGCAGTAAATCTCAGCTGTCAAGCCTTAGAGATCTCCACATCGTTTGTGTTTACTCAGGTGTGTAATTAGCAGCCCCCCCTCTGCTGATTGAAACCAGTGGATGACTGTGGGAGGAGACGTCCGGGTCTCTGGCCTGGAAGCAGCGTTTAGATCCAGAGTATGAAGGCTCACATTTTGCTGTGTGGTAAATTAGACGGAATTACACCGAAGCTGTTGTTTGGGACCACTGCTGTGTTCTTTAAGAGAGTTTAGAGGTTTGCTACGGGTCTGTGTTTGCATATTAATAAGGCTGTTGGGTTTAGTAAATACCATTTCCAGAGCCTGTGGGAAACCGCCTGAGGTAACTATTTGCAGAAGATCTCACGACACGCCGCTAACATTACAAACAAATAGATAGAAGCGAGCAGGCAGAACACCGAGGAGGGTTCTAGATGTCGCACCATTTCCTTTAATAAGTCTCAGGATCAAGTAGTGTGGTGTCGACTGGATGGACTTTAAGTGGAGACGAGGACGACTCACGACTGATGAGTGTTTCTGAAGACACCCTGACGTTTGAGGACCAACCTGAAAGTATCCCAGCAGGAACACAGCCGCTCCGATTCCAGTGTAGTAGAAGGCAAACAGGGTCATTTCATATTCAATGTTGAGGAGCCTGAAAATCAGCACACGTAGAGTTAATAAATCATTCACACTCAGCGTATGTGCAGTAAATAAGTCATACGTTACAGCTACAGAACCACAGAGACACTTAAACACAGATCTGGAAGTTTTCAAATCACATCTTACATTATACCTCATGTTGGACAGGAAGCCAGCCTCATGCATTTCTCACAACCCACTCACCCACACTGCCTGTGCTTCAGCGGTACCAGCATCTCGAACGTTGAATTGTTGATGAGGCCCCAGCCCGTCAGGTTGGACGGGTCTGCCAGGTCGTACGACGCAGTGTAGTTCCTCTTCCACTGGATGGTGTTGTTGACGCACTCCTTGCGGTCGTCGCTCAGCTCGTTGAGCTCGATGTCGTACTCGATGAAGGTGTCGGTGAGCAGGCCGAACACCAGCAGCATGAGCGGCTGGGCCGAGCCGTGCAGCAGCGCGCATACGCCGCCCACCACCATCATCAGCCGGTCTCTGCATGTGGCGAAGCGGAACTGGACACGAAGCACACGCTGGGGTTAGAAAGGGCAAATCTCTCAAAGAGGGCAAGTAGAGAAAAGTGGAGTCTTTACCAGCTGAAAGAAGCCGACTCTGATGGCTGGTTGAGCCTTGTTTGCCTGAGCTCTGTTGGAAATAGAAGGCCTGTCAGTTTAAATAGAAGGTGAACGTGATTTAATATTCTGGGCCTTTATTGCTGTTCGGTACTCACTTATCATTCTCCTTGGAATTGGCCATGGTCCTGCATGAAGGGAAAAAAAACAGCTTCATCTGGGTTTATAGGAAAACTACTTAACAAATGTGTGACTCACGAGGATTTAATGTGTAATGTATTAAGAAACGACCAAGTCATGTCTGTGAACTGATGCTTTATTAATCAGCTAATGCTTCAGGGGTCATCAATTAACGCTTGGTAATTCACCGTACATATATTGTACATTAACTTTTCATTTATTGGATGATCCATTAAGAGTGGAAGAGTTTAATATTGCACATGAAAGTATGATTCAAACCAAAGGATTTCACATATTTTCTAGGACCAGCATTACGTTACCGCGGCTTCATGGTGAATACTTTGACTTCTGACTGGTTAATTTGATCAATAATCATTGAGTCATCTTTTAAGCAATAAAAAGACAAAGTGTGTCTGCTTTACATCCCTGTAAAGTAAATATCTGATATATTCAAATTGCCACTGTGGTTGGCATTTCTTTGTGTTTTCTGATGCAAAACAATTCATCGATAAAATAAAGAACAATTAACAAAAATGATAAATTTAACCAGAAATACTTAGATCTATGATAAAAATAAAATAATTAGATTAGAAGCTACACTTACATGTAGGACCCGGCTGGTTCTGCAACACAACAACATAACAGGCGTTACAGGTCTGCTCAAACTCAATCCACATTTATGTAAATTAAGTTAAATTAATATTGGAAGTGTCGATCACTACTGGATCAGCATCTTTCTCCAAATAAACCCTCCGTTACCTTCATCAGAAACCTCATAGCTGTAGTTTTCCTGTCCCAGTTTTTTGATGCTCTGTAGTTTCACTGATCCTGTCGGCATGTTGAGTCATCTGGGAAAAGTCAAAAGTTAGATGTTGAACAATCCAGCTTGAGAGGACACGTATTTCATTTCATGCACGGAGGCTCAACCTTACCGATGTGTTTCCTCTGTTGTCCTGGACATGCAGCTGTTACGTCCTCACTGTGAGCTCTGCTTGTGGCAGCCTGTCACTTGGGTACGATCAGAAAAGTGCTGGGTTAAAAAATAACCCGGCGTTAACCCCGTCACCACCTCATATTAGGAAAGAGCGTTTCCCTGAGCTCCCCGCATTGAGCGCCTACTTCTATATGATAACACTGCTTTTATAAAACCGACTTTCATTGACTGAACACAATAATTTATCAGCAGTGATGCTGAGACGAGAGGCTCCATAAAAACATCTATCACCTTCTGGGTATAAATAGATTTCAGAGAAACAACAGCAGGTACCGATGGGAGCAGACTCAATCAGACATCATTTCATTTCAGTTATCGCTTTGTTTAATTAAGGTAACACTAATTACATATAACGAGCAGCGTCCCAGAGGTGGTGAGTAGGTTTCATTTGTAGGCTGTGGGCAGTGAGTCTGTCTTTCCAGTGAAGTTCTCCTCTTAGAAAACTGTTCGTCAGCTTTAACTCAGTCGCATTCCTGGAATTAAATTTCTGATTAAATAAATTAGAATTCCCTGAAACTGTGCAGAGTTCTGACGATGGCTTCACATCAACAGCCACGAGACTCAAGTTTCCCTTAAGCGAACACTTAGATCACAAAATTGTCTCCAGAAAATGTTAATGTTTGCCAGTGAGCTAGCTGGTTAGCTATTTGATAAATGTTAGAGAGTTAGAACCACACTATGACCCAGGTTGTACTTGATCTGTGAAATTAGACTAAAATTATGCAATCTGTTAAAATGATTGATGCTGTGTGAACCTCTACCTGCAAGAGAAAATAAATGAATATTTGAATAAAGCAGGACCTCAGACAGCCTGAGACCTGCAGCACGAGCATTAACCAGGAGAACCAGAACCAACCCAGCGCTTTCTCCAGGGTCCGAGTCGACCCGCTGTCTGCTTTGGCAGCGCCTCACGTGCTGTTATCGAGCAGCGTTGGGCTTGGTTTGAACTCGGGGTCAGGTTGGTTTGTTCGGAGGTAAGTGTCCTGTCGGTTTGTGCTGCTCAGAAGGCCGACGACCTCGCCGGGGCAAACACTTCAACTCTGTTCCTGCATCGTTAATTCACACAAGCGGTGGACTTAAACGAGTGTAATCCTTTGGGTAAAGATGTGTTCTTCACATGAGAAACACAGAAGTCGTGTCCCGCTGGTTGTTTACTCGCTGCAGATTATTCTGGTTGTGTTTCTGGATTATCACGCCAGCTTGCCTTTAAGTCGACTGAATAACGGTAATGAACTGGCAGCGTGAAGTGAAAGCTTCCAGCGGGTCTGAGGAAAGAGTTCAGCTCCACACGACTTGGACAGAACGCTTCATAAGGACCTAATTAGTGCAGGCATTCATTAGCTTTAATTGAAGAGCAAACACTTAAGTGAACACTTTAGGAGGAGACTGAGAGCTGCCCATTGTGGTGGATTTCTAATCTGACTGCCAGCCGGAGCCCACAGAACCATTTAGGGAAGGGGTCAGCCATCTTTAGTCCAGGAGGCTCCAGCCAACCAGGCTGGTCTCTGGTCAGCTGAAGCTGTCACACCATAAACATGTAATCAGATTAAATCCCTTACCTACCTGCCTACATGCACCACAGGTCTCCCCAGAGTCTGATCCTCCTGTCGTGAGCTGCATCTCCTCAGAGCGTGTGATCGTCTCTGCTTACATTTAAACCCTCACAATCTTGGTTTTTGGTGCATCTTGTGACACGGTGCTGCTGAGGCCGATAGATTGTCTCCGACCGACACAATGACGCACGGAGAGCTGGCAGGACGTCCTTATCAAAGCTTCTCCTCACACTTCACATATTATCTGTTTCATGAGTCACAAACTTCTCCAGCCGTCCTGTTCTTATCTCACACGTGTCACCAGTTCAGTGTGTTGATGTGGTGTTTGTGATTCTATACTTCAGCATCTCTGTTGAACACATAAAGAAAACGGTCTCCTTGGACATATAACGTCCAGCAGACGAGGTTCAGACATGTTGACTAACAACAACAACAACAGCACTTTGCACATGAATTGGTGATTTAAAAATTAAAGCAAACAGCAGAAACTCTGGGGTGATAATGAACGATAATAAAGACGATCATTAAGAAAATGAAAATTCTGCTCAGCTGCGTTAATGTATAATAAGGATAATGGTTGTGAATGAGGTGTGGCTTATCAGGGACACTAAATGCTTTTAAGTACTGTTTTGATTCTTATAGAATTAATAGTCGTTATTAAACAGGCCTAATTTCAAAGTGTTGTCTAATCAGAAGCACAGCGTGATTCCTCTCAGGTTGATGTCACGTCTGAGTGCAGTCGTCGTGTTTAAAGTTATGCTGGATTTAGTAAAATAATCTTGTGATTGGAACTAAGCTGTTAATATTTTAGTCTTTTAAGAACCATATAAATGTCATTATACGATATTTAATGTATTTAAATTAAATAATGTGTGCATAAGTGGAGTTTATGTTCTATTTAAAGTAAAGTAATTTTACATTTTTTTGCTCTCTTCCAGCTTTAACCCGACTGGTCGAGGCAGATGACCGCCTTCCCTGATGCTGGTTCTGGTTCTGCCAGAAGTTTCTACCCATTAAAAGTGAGTTTTTTTTTCTTGCCACTAATCAAAGGGAATCAGTTGGATTAGTTGGGTTTCTTGCTATAAGACGATGCTGCCATCATGTCTTTAGCTGACTGTAAAGTCCACATTTTAGCAGATTGTTAAAATCAGGGGTGGGTATCAATACTCTGATCTGTGCTTTCTGATGGGGGCTGCAAGGTGGCTCGGTGGTTAGAACCGTCGTCTCCAAGGAAGAAGGTCGCCAGTTCGCGTCCCAGTCCCAGGATCTTTCTGCATGAAGTCTCCATGTTCTCTCTGGGTTCTCCGGCTTCCTCCCACAGTCCAGATCCATCCATCTATCATCTCTACACCTTAATCCTCACTAGGGTCATGGGGGGCTGGAGTCTATCCCAGCTGACTCAGGGTGAAGGCAGGTTCACCTGGACAGGTAACCAGTCTATCACAGGGCTACACTTAGAGACAGACAACCAAGCACACTCACATTCACACCTACGGACAATTTACAATCACCAATTAACCTCAGCATGTTTTAGTCAGAATCAGTGAGCTGCTGGGTGTTCACTACATGTAGCTGTAGGTTCAGTGGTTAGCACCGTGGCCTCGCAGCAAGAAGGTCGCCGGTTTGCGTCCCGGTGAGGACACCCGGGATCTTTCTGTGGAGTCTCCATGTTCTCCCCGTGCAGCGTGGGTTCTCTCCGGGTTCTCCGGCTTCCTCCCACAGTCCAGAAACATGCTGAGGTTAATTGGTGATTGTAAATTGTCCGTAGGTGTGAATGTGAGTGTGCTTGGTGAGGATTAAGGTGTAGAGATGATGGATGGATGGACTTTCTGATGTTTTTGTGTTTTCTTTAAGGGAGAAAAATAGACAAATTAAGAACAGAATTGCTTTATCTTCTCATATAACCACTAATGTTGTGTTGATGGGAACGATTAGAGAACTGTGGACGGTGTTGCAGGTTCATTAAACTGTCCGACAGTATTTCATCATTAAAAAGCTCCACCTTGAACAGATATTTGGTAAATGTCAGTACATCATGTTTTATGTTCTTCAGTTAAAAAATGAATGCAGGTTTTAATAGTTTTAGCAAAGCAAACGGTTGAAGTACGTCTTCTACCACGAACGCTGACATTCAGTCAGAAAAACAACTGAAAATAAAGGAAGACTGTTTATCTGCAAATCCAGTCGCTCTGTGCTCTAAAAGTGAAACTAATGTCCTAAACGACGATGATATGAAGCTGCTGAAAGAATAAATAAGTTTAATTTAACAGCAATAAAACACCGTTCCACTGCTCTGTTTAATACATCCAGGGTGTTTCTTGGCTGCTGATGTGTAATTTCGGCAGATATTGCGGTTAAACACATATTACTTCATCCTCCTGTGGACTCTTCATTATCTCATAACACCACAGAGGTTAGCTTTCCGCCACAACACAGGTGAGCGCCTGAGCCCAGAAAGTGTTGCCGTGTTGTGACATCCCGGCGGCCTGAACTCCAGGTCGTTGCCCTCCTCTGGCTCGGCTTCCTGCTCGGCTCCGTGTTGTATACAAGCAGTGTGGTTTCATTCGACCGCTGCGAGTTTTAAATGCACACACATCAGGCAAAGTACAGGCTGTAGAATATCACCTTTAAACCAGATAACAGCTCAACATGTGTTTGAGGAAACTGCAGAATTAAAGCCAGAAATAAATATAGAATTAGACAGCTCAGATTACACCCTGCATGTAATCCCAGCCTGCTATGTCAGGAGTATTCCCCTCTGCTGGAAGTACAAAGTCTGATCCATCAGTGAACAAAAGAGGAGGTGGAATCTAAATCAACAACCAGATCTAATATTGATGCTCTCTGCTGCTGCTGCTGGTTTGTTTAAGCCATTAAAGTTTAAAAAACAGGCGTAAAGTGGGCCTATATTTTATGTTTTAATCATGTGAGACAAACACAAAATGCTTGTTTCTTATTGATGAAGCCGTCATCAGTTATGTATGAGCTCAGACGTGTGATTTATATTATTTATATAAGAGCGACTGATTGGATATGCACGCTGCACATGAAAACAGGCGTGTGTTCGTAGGTGGTCGTGAACCGCCGGTCATTCACCGCTGCCTTCAAGTGCAGTCAGGAAACCACAGAGAGAGAGACTCTGTCGAGGACACAGAGGAAGAGGACGTGTTCACGGGTCAGAAAAATATGACTGAGTTCAGTCTGGCAACAAGAAAAACGCACCAACTGTAAAACCGTTGATACAGTTTAAATAAAGAATCTGCAGTTTCTTGTACAATTATGTCGCAATTCAGAACACAAAGAAATGAATTAAATAGAATTTCAAAGGTTTTTGTTTTCTGTTGCCAGAATC